TACATAAGACATGACATTACTAAATAAAATTGTTAGAAATATATAATTAATAACATATTATTTACCTTTACTTTGACACGTACTGCCTCCCTTATAGAACCATAAACTCTCGAATTTGACATGTTTAAAGTTGTGATAAAGCTAAAAATAAAATTTTACATAAAACTTTCATTCTGATATAAATTCCTTAAATTTTTCATTCTTAGAAGCCAAATAGATAATTTTTATTAAATTGAAAAAATCATTTTCGCTCTATTCCAAAATACAGTATCAATGCTTAAACAATTTATGACCTGTCGACACTTTTCTTAAATTGTCGCCATTTAAATAAAGTAAACTATTGATTCGATATTTATGAAAACCGTGACGTATCGGTTAGCAGATAGGTTTTGTAAAATTTTAGTGAGTTATTTTTTTATTACGTATCTGTTTGATATTTACTAGCAAATTGTGTAGGTAACTTAAATTAATCAACCCAATTTAATTTTTGAAGAATTTTCAATTATTAAAATTGTCTTTGAATTATTGCTCACGATCTAACGAAATTGCATCACCAAAGATAATGCGTGATAAAATAAATAAGTTTTTTTAAATTTTTTAGGAATTTAAAAATTCATCATGATTAGCGCCCGACTCTGTCAAGTCTCTTTAGCAAGTCCTATGGCTAAATCTTTGCCTGTCGTAAAAACCATAATATCAATTAGACCTATCAATGTATTTAAAGTTTCTCCGATCATACGAAACGATGGCATTCGAAAATTTATGAATAACTCTAGAGAAAGATTATCGCATGCAGCGAGAAGAAAAACATTGAGAGAAGAAGCATTTTCACCCGCTGGAGATACTGCTTTTTCAATTGGAAAAGGAGCCTTAGCTGGTTCTTCTGTTTTAGGAATTGGTGCACTCTGCTATTACGGCCTTGGTTTGTCCTCTCAAGCAGGTTCCATTGAAAAATCTGTGTAAATATACTTAAAAATTCTTCTCAAACTTACTGTCCTATTTGCGCTCAGTTACATATTTATAAATATTTAAAATAATTTTTAGATTATGGCCTCAATATGTAAAGAACAGAATTAAAGACACTTATATGTATTTTGGTGGATCTATTGCAATATCTGCAGCTAGTGCTGCTGCCGTGTTTTCAACCCCAGCTCTTTTACAATTGGTTACAAGAGGTGGAATTATGTCTATGGTAGTTACTCTTGGCGCACTAATTGGAAGTGGAATGATAGTTCAAAGTATTCCTTACTCACCTGGATTTGGTGCCAAACAATTGGCATGGATAGGTCACTCTGCTTTAATTGGTGCTGTATTGGCTCCAATGGCATTTTTGGGTGGACCCATATTACTAAAAGCTGCATGGTACACAGCTGGAGTTGTAGGAGGATTATCAGCTATTGCAGTCTGCGCTCCAAGTGAAAAATTTTTACAAATGGGTGGACCATTGGCTATTGGATTAGGAGTTGTTTTCGCTTCTTCAATCGGTTTGTAATAATCTAAATAAATTATTAAATAATTACTTTACCATCATATTGTGATTATATACCTTTTTTTTCAGGAACTATGTTTTTACCACCAACAACAGTACTCGGTTCCAGTTTACATTCAATCGCTTTATATGGAGGATTAATATTATTTTCTGGCTTTTTGTTGTATAACACTCAAAGGATAATTCATACAGCTGAAAATTATCCACCAGATTACACCGGAGTTAGGCCTTTCGATCCTGTTAACATGTAAGAAAAAATTTTTAATAATTTCATCACAATCAAATTTTAAATTAATTAATTAATTAATTAATTTTTTTTAAATATTTTTAGGTCAGTTTCAATTTATTTAGATACTGTTAACATCTTCATCAGAATAGCTACAATTTTAGCCGGAGGTGGTGGAAACAAAAAGCGTTAAACTATTATTAATTAATTTTAAGTTCAATTACATAATTTAATAATTGTTAAATTATTATTTTGTTTGAGAAAACAAATTTCAAAGTATTTAATTTTCTGTAAAATTCTTTATAAATGCTGTTTGATGTTAAAAACGACTGATAAATACAATTTTTCTTATTTAATAATAAATTAAAAAAAAAAAAACAAAACAAAACAAAATTAATCATTAATAGTAAATTATCATAAAAATAAGAAATTGCTAAATACTTACCTTAAAAAAAAAAAGAAATATTACAACTATGGAGAGTATACGATTCTGAAATTTTTCAAAGTTAAATAAAATCTAAAAATAAATGCTTATTGAGAAATTTTTTCTGATTTATTTTAAATTGTAAATTATTATGTTGTACGAGAAAAGATGAACGAAATTGACTGTAAAATTTTAAAATATATTTCATTAATAATTTTTTTTTTATTAATTTTATAAATTAAAATAAAAATATCACTTTAAAGAATTGTCAGATATTTACTTATGGTAAAATTATTAAAAAATATTATCGTAAAAGATGTTATTATAAAATAATTATTATTTAAAAAAAAAAAAAATCTTAAATATTATTTTTAAAGTAAATGTAATAATAATATCCTACTAATAATCGATTAAACAAAACTGCACGTACGATTTTGTTATTAATAATCAATTTTTTCCCCCCCCCCTCCCTCCCGTTTTATACCGTGTAAGAGGCACAAAATGTACTTTCTATTAAAATTTTTCAATTTTTATTATTTGTTATGTAAGGCACCATAATAATTTCGATGTTGGACACATTTTCTGTTCCTTCTGTTTGATGATCTGATATTTCAGTATTGGCCTTGATTTTTCTTTCTCCCACCGTGCAGTGATGCTGCATTAATTGTTTTTGCTTTCTAAACGATTGAAAACAATTTAAGCACCTTGATATTTTTTTACTTTTTATTATTTTGTGATCTTTTTTCAAATGTTGATTTAATTTTAATAGTGATGAAAATGTTTTCGAACAAATTTGACACGTTTTTAATCTTACGCTGCTGTGAGTCGCTATGTGATCTCTAAGTTTATCTTTTCTGTAAAATGTTTTGAAACAACCTAAAAACGCTTTAAAAGGACACTCGAAATACTGATTCAAGTGAATGGCTAAATGCCTTTTCAGTCTATACTTCGACGCAAATTGTTTATCACAGTGTTCGCAATTAAAGGGTTTCTCCTCCGAATGAACGAATGCGTGATTGTTAAGATATTTTTGAGTCCGAAATGTTTTTTTACATTTCATACATTTATATTTAGATTCAGAGGGATCGAGATGAGTTGCTAAATGTCGGCGAAGAAATCTTTCCGAACTGAAAACGTTTCGACAATGAACGCATTCGTAATTGTGTGAATCAACCGCCATGTGATTTTTTAAAGACTCCAAAGTTTTAAATTGTGCGTGACATATTTTACATTTTAATTTACTGAAGAAGAAAATACGCGAGTTAAAATATAAAATAAGAAAAAATTACTTAATTGAATAAAAATTAAAAAAGAAAAAAGAAATTATTTAACAAAACTACTTACACGTCAAATTCTTTTTTATTTTTCCCACTTAAATCATGGTCATATTGATGAGCTCCCAAATCATCCAAACTAGTAAAGGCTTTTAAACATATATGACACCGAAATTCTGCGGAAGAATGAATTTTTGAATGTAATAAAAACTCATCTAAATCACTAAAAGTTTCATTGCATCCCTTTTGAATGCAACGATAAACCTGAAAAAAAATAATAATTAAAAAATTAAAATGATTGCGAGTAAATATAATTAAGTTTCGATAGTTGTGTAAATTGTTGATTTATACCTTAAAATTAGAATGAACACTTAAATGTTTTTTATACTGAGAATAAGACTTAAAACTTAAGGAACAATATTGACAGGAATAATCAATTTGATCTAAAAATTCTTGACTTAATGTTGATTCAGTATGATCATTATCAATCTTTAATGTTTTTTGAGCCTGAGGCCATACTTTGTGCCTAATCATATGTTTTCTAACGTTTGACTTTTGAGAAAAGGCTCTTCCACAAATAATACATTGAAAAGGACGTTCTCCAGTGTGAATTCGTTCATGCTGTTGTAAATTAAATTGTTTTTCAAATTCTTTACCACAAAAAGAACACTCTAATTTTGATTTGATTTTATCAAGATTTTTTTTATCAATTTTAACAAAATTTGTTAACGTGTCATGACTATTATTCTTATTTGACAATTGCTCATAAATAAGTTTTAATAAATTTTCATTGATTTGTGATGTATTATGTGAATCATTAACTGAAACAATGCCATCAGAATTTTGAGAAATATTATTTTCAGTTGATATATTTTGAAAATTAGTCAGTATAACAGTGTCATTTTGCTTGGTATCTATTGTACTTTGAGTTAGAAAAAATTCTATATCCAATGGCTCATTTTCAACTGAATTACTTAAAATTATATTATCTGAATTAAGTTTGGCACAGTTATCAGTATTTATAATTATGCTTTCTGTTCCTTTGTTACATTCAGAATTAGCAATGTAAACTGAATTATTTTCCTGAGGAATTTTTGCAGGAATAAATATTTGACTGGAAATTGTGGCCGAAGAATTATCAATATCCAATTGATTTTCACTTATAAGAAATGTTACTGGCTCATTTTCACTTGGTTGATCATCTCTCATAAATTGAATTACATTTTCTTTGGCATTATCATGTTTGAAATTATTATCTAATGATATAAGGTAAGTCTTTTCTAATGAAGAAGATTCAGGAAGTTCCATTAACAATTTTGTCGAAATATCAGACATGGGAGTTTCAGGAGATTTACATAATGTCCTCTTGTGATCAATAAATTGAGATAATTGTTCAAATTGAATCTTACATCTGCCACATTTAAATGAGTCTTTTTCTTGCATTTTAAAGCCTTAAAACAAAAAAAATTATTTTTTATTATTAAAAACAAAAGCAAAACTTGAATAAAATAAAATTTTTAATTGCAATGTGATCATTCATTTACCTTCTTCAGATAAACCATTCCTTTTAATACTGATATTTTTTTCTATTTAATACTTGTGTATTTGTTTCAGAAAGATCTAAAAACAAAGAGAAAAAGTGTTTTTAAGTAATAAACTTCAATAATTTAATAATATGTTATTTTAAAATAAAAAGTGTAATTATTGCCTTATTATTAAAAGGACAAGCATTTTGTACTAAAGAATTTATTTTACAATTAATAAAATTTTTTTCTTTAAAGTGCATACATATTCTAGCTGTTTTTTTTGGATCTAACAAGGCTACAGTTTTAAAATATCTAATAATAGGAAAAATTTCTCTCAGTTCAAATTTGTAATTTAAAAGTTGTAATTTGTTTATTGTAAAAAAACTAAGTATAATTTAAGTATTTACTTTGCTAATCGAGATATTATGAATATTAAATATAAAAAAAATAATTAAAAAAATGAAATAATAAATAAAATCTGTAAATTACTTTGATTTGTTTTTTGGAAATTTAAAAAATGCTAGTCCTTTTTGCGGATAAGATTCCTCAAAAATGAGGCATTTTCGTTTCTGACTTTCCATGACTCAGTTATTAAATTTACTTTTGGCACTTATTACTGACTTTCATTATTAACTTATTCGATATTGTTAAACTAAATAACTTTTCACATGTTGAACATTTTTTTAAATTAAAATTTGATAATCAATCAATACATAAATACTGATTTCCGTTTTGAAAATAAAAACTTGATAATATATATTTTGAAATCGAAAACGACCATGATCTAAGTGTAGCCAACATTAATTAATTTTCCTTGTAAAAAATGTTTTCTTAGTTTTTTCCCAACGAAAAATTGTTTACTTTTGCAAACTTTTTTTTGAAATATTTTTATTATAATTTTTATAACCTTTTTCTTTTTTCTATTATCAATATGATTTTTTAAAGATATATTGTTTGCTAAAAATGTTACATTCATTACAAAAAGGTACTTATTTAAAAGTTTTCAATGTTTTTTAATCGAAAGTCATGAGGTTCATTTTTTTTTTTAAGGAATATGAAAAACTTTAAATAGAATTTTAATAATTATTAATTTTTTTTTGTTTGTCATTTATTAAAAACTGGAAAAAAAAATTTAAAGAATTTAAACGAATTCATAATGAAACAGTAGTAATTATGACTTTTTTAATTAATATATTATAATAATTAGTAATATTAAAAAAACTTTTTACATTAAAAAAAAAATTTCCCTGTTCAAAAAAAAAATCCCTTAAATGTATTTTGTGCTTTTCAGCTGATTATATTAGGTTATTTATTTTCCATAATATTTTAATCTTCCATAATAAATGTTTTTAAAAAAACTACGCTTTTAAATAATTTAGTAATATTAATAAATAAGAATTTCCTAAAATTTTAATAAAGGCCATTTTTTTTTTTTTAATTAATAAAGTTATGAAAAAATTTTTTATGATATTTAAGTTATATTGTACGTTAGTGTTCGCCTAAAAAAAAAAAAGTAAAATGACACCAATTAGATCTAAAAAAAGAAAATTTAAACAAAAACGTAAAAGTACAAAACCGCGAATTCGGCCTTTAAATGGTAATTTTTTAATTCATGAATTTTCTAAAGGAGAAAACAAGACTGAGGTTGAAAAAGTTTTTCAAAAATACGATACCATAAATTTAGGACTAATGTCCCTTCCCAGTTGCTCAGGAGTACAAAACTCTTTTGATGATTTTAAACATCTAAACAACAAAGAGTGCCTAAATCAAACAATAGACTTATGCATCGATGAAGATGATCCAGGAACTTATTCTGCTCAATGTGAAGATGATAAGTCTGGACTATCGAATGACACTTCAGTTACCACTAATTTTAATAATGATAATAATGATGAAAATGATGTTATTATATTAAAAGATTTAAGTCATTCTTCTGTAAAATGTGATAATAATGATCCAACTGTTATAGATATAAGTGATGACAGTGACATTATGGTAGTGAAATCGAATATTAACAAAAAAAACAATGATGATATTTTTATTATTAATACTAATAATAATTTAAATATGTCTCATTCATCATCGTTGGATCTTAACCAAATGATAAAGTGTTATATAAAGAAAAAGAATAAAAAGAAAAATAAAAAGAAAAAAATTAAACAAAAAATTTTAAAACACAGTCATCAAATACTTTCCGTTTCCGAAAGGAGAAATTTAAATTATCCTCTACAAAATTTCAATTCGAATAATGTCTCCAAATTATCAAATATTGGCAAAAACATTTATTTAAATTCTCCTGTTGTGTTACCCAAAAAAGGACTGAGACCAATTATAATAGATGGAAGTAATGTAGCTATAAGGCAAGCATTATTTTAATTAATAATTTTCATTACATTGATAGAATTAATTTGAGTTGATAAAAATAATTTTTTTCTTTTTTTATTATTATTATTAGTCACAAGGGTGCTCAATTTTCATGTAAAAAGTTAGAAATATGTATTAAATATTTTAAAGAAAGAGGACACAAAGTAACAGCTTTTGTCCCTCAATTTAGGATGTAAGTATTACTTAGAAACTTACTGAAAAATTGTACTGAATTAAATTTACTGAAAAATTACTTACAGTAATAATGAATTGTTATTAACATTTGCAGAAGCAGCAGGAGAAGCGATAATCCTGAAATTTTACAACAGTTGGTTAAAAACGGTGATGTAATTCTTACTCCTAGTAAATATGTCGAAGGAAAGAGTATGACACCATATGATGACAGGTCTGAAAAATATATGTAATTTATTTAATTGTACATAATACATTAACTTTATATACTTATAGATGATGAACTTTATTCAATTTTACTTTAAAAACAAAATTTTCTTAACTTTCTCAAGTAAAAAATTGTATTTTTTAGGTTTATTGTACAAACTGCTGTACTCAAAGGAGGTATTATAGTTACTAGAGACAATTATAGAGATCTCCTATCAGAAAATCCAGCTTGGGCTGAAACAATCAATTATAGGTATTAAGAAAAATTTAAATATTTTAAAAATTACTAGTAATTAATATGAATGTTATTAAAAAAAACTCTTTTCGTTTTGTAAACTACTTTAATTTTAAAACCTAAAGTTTGTAAATTGTTTGTTAAACATTTATAGTTTTCTCAAGATAATACTTTGACAAAACTGTAAAATAATTTTTTTATTTTTTTTATTTTAGAACTCTGGCTTACACTTGGGTGGATGACGTTCTCATGTTTCCAAATGATCCTCTAGGAGAGCATGGACCAACTTTGGATGAATTTTTAAGGTTTCAATAATGTAAAATTTATATTTATTATTATTATTATTATTTTTTTTTTTTTGTAATAATAAAAGTATATATTTAAAAAAAAAAAAAAAAAAAAGAATTTACTAACATAAGTTAAAGGTAAAATACTACTATTTTAATCATACTATATCACATTCCGCAATGACAAACACTCTTAAAATATAATAAATAATTTATTTTTTTACTTGAAAAAAGTTTCATGTTATATATATATTATAAATCTATGTGTGACTATTGTATCACAAGTACATTGTGAAAAATATATCAATAATTTTTGTTTAGGGCATTAAACAAATTATTTTTTTATTATTTATAATAATATCCTCCAAGTTATTTAAGTTATTATTTGTAAATTATTATAACCTATTTAACCTTTACTATTTAATTTTATTATTAAATTACACAAGTTGATATTTCATATAAAATATTATAACTAGTAATTTTTTTCAGTAATATTCGATAGAAATGTTTATTGTTGTTTGTTGTTTTGTATTTTTTATAATTATATTTCATTTCGTTTGTTGAATAAAAATTTTTATACTTATTTTTTTAACATAATAATATTTTTAAAAAAATTTCCTAAAATTTAATCCATTACTAAGCAATCTATGATTATTGAAATAAATGCTTTCGTAATTAGGCAAAATATTGGGTTCGACTATAAAATTTTATTTTTCCATAATATTATGAGATATATTTCTATTCACAATTTATTTATACTTGAAGGGTTTGATTATGATTATTAATTAAAAATATATTATTTTTTATAATTTGTACTTGTTATGGTATGACGATAAAAATATATGTAACTTATTCATAAGAAAAAATTAAGAAAACTATTATTTAATTAATGAATTCATTAATTGTGCCATAAAATTTTTAAATCTACAAGAATATTTTTTAATAAGTTTTAGTAAATTTACTTAAAACCAAAAAAAAATTTGCTATTCAACATTTAAATAATGATTAAATACTTAAAAAAATAAAATCTGAAAAGATTTATAACGAATAATAGTCAAAAAAAATTTTAAAAATTATTGATTTGAAAATAAATTTTGATGATTTAATCATATATATTATCATAGTCAACCATTATTAAGTACAAATATTAGTAAGTACTAATTATTTTCTATATTATTTTGAAAAAACTTTTTTACAAACCGTTTGGTATAAGATACATTTTTTTATCACAGTTATTTAAGAGGCTCATCTAAAATAGTGAAATACAAATAATCAGTCTTTGATAAATTTATATGAGCATATTTTTAATCTGAATCTAAAAATGAAGAAGAAAAATAAATAAAAAAAATTACAATGTTTTAATACTAAACAAGTTTTTATTATTAGAGCAATAATTCCTACCTATAAAATTTTTATAGTGACCTCCATCTTGATGGGGGCCAAACTATATGAGTTGCTTTAGCCGTAATTAATCCTAATGCAACAGGGCCAAATGTATTTGAATCAAATGAACTACCAACATGATCACCTTCTACCCAGCAATGTCCCTGTGGAATTGTCACTACCTTAGATTTATAACCGATTGTTGAAATAACGTCTCCCTCTAATCCGACAACTCTTTTTATAATTATTTGTTCCGGATCTTTTGGAGATATCAATGAAATTATATCTCCTCTTTTAATTTCATAATTTCTAACGACCCATTTATTTAATAAAACAAAATCTACACAATCAGAAACAGGATTGAGAGATGGCCTCATAGAAATTCCTTTAACTCTCGCTACATAGCCTACTGTATCTACAATTGCAATACCTACAGGTACGACGTATAAAACAGTTTTAAATATACGTCCAAATTCCATGTTATTTTTTTTTCACAATAATAAATATTAACTTCTATCTAAGTTTGGTTAACTTAATAAAAAAAATTGATTAATGTAATTACGTAATTAATTGATTTACACTTATATTTAAAATTTTACTTCAAAATAAATAATAAATAAATTTATTTTAGCCATTTTAAACATTTTAAATTTAAAATATTTTAAATTACAAAATTAATTAAAAATGTAAAAAGTACGGTTTCAATCAGTAAAATCTAAGATGGCGGTTTGACAAGCGCCATGTTTTTTTAATATTTAAAAATATCATGAGCGCGTAAATTCGGAATCAAAAAATACATTTTATTACAATAAATAACTATATTTGCAGTTAGTTATCATATATTTAGCAAAAATTAAATGTATAATTTTTTTTTTTTTTTAAACATAAACATTAAAAATGTAATGCACGATTTTAAAAAAATTATTTACGTAGATGCGTGACAAAGCGCACAAGTTTTTCTTATGGCTGCATCATGTGCGACAGCTTTATGATGACAAGTTGTGCAAGTCCAAATATTAGAATCATTTAATATTGGAATTCCTGTTATCACACAAACGGGAAATTTAGTTTTGCAATTTGGACAAGTGTCGAATAAACTAGAAATAAGAGTTAAACAAATTGAACATTCTACTAGATTTTCTTTCGGATCGCGAGGGCAATTTCTAGAAAATAGGTCGAGTGCAAGGGCTTCATATTCCGTTTTTTTATCCTCGGGTAAGTCGGGAAGAGCCTCAAGCCTTGACAGAGACTTTGAACAAATTGCAAAATAATGCGTGCCAGCCGAAGTGATGGCTTGAAGGCAATAAATTTCTTCTGGATCGAGAATGTCTTCGTAATTGTTTAAAATTAACGACGTTCTCATCGCCGAATCTATGTATCCTTGCTGCAGTTGCTTTTCGGCTAAAATTAAAAAATGGTAGGCTTCTGCTTTTCTCCAGGGCTCGAGCAAATCGGTCGTAGTTTCCCCTTCTAAAATCGTTGACAATTCACCTATTTTAGTTTTTTGTTTTTCCTCGAGAATCAAAGCGGCTAAAACGTAAAGTTTTTTTATGTACACTAAATCTTTTGTTTTTTTTGCTTCATCGTCAGCAACCATAAACATTAGTTTAGCAGCTTCTATGTATTGTTGAGCTTTGGAAAGAAAATCAATGGCTTCTAAAATTTTTCCAGACTCGATAAGTTGTTTTGCACTAGACGCTAGTAATTTACTGACACCTGGATACTGATGTTTTACTGCTAACCTTATGGCTTCCGACCATTGAGATAGAGTGATGCAACAATCAACAGCTTTTTTGATTTCGCCCGCTTTTACAAAAACATCTACCGCCTCTTTACAAATACCAACATTTGCCAACATGGTTCCTAACTTAACGAGAAATGGGTGTTTTTCGTTAAGCTTTCTGGAAATAGCTTTTAAACTTTCCCAATCTTCGAGCATATAAGCGCACATAGCTTCCTTTTCGAAATTTCTTGATTTTTCATAATATTCTTGAGCGCTTTTCCAATTTTGTCGATCAACAAAATAATCTCCAATCGAATTGTAAGTTTTTTCGTATTGAATATCCGACCCTGCGACTCCTATTTTCATGAGTTGAGCAACACGAAACCAATCGCCCAACCTTTCTCGCAATTGAACGGCCAAATCAGCTCTATCGATTTCAAGGTAAATTTTTTCTGCTTCGTCGAAATTTCCCAGGTAAGATGCTATTTCGGCTTTTCGTAAACTTTCACTGTGAATATTTTGAAGTCTCTTGACAAATTGAAGTCCTTGAATATCTGAAAATCTTACAAATGCTGATTCAGCTATTGTTAAATCCATTTTTTTGAGTGCGGATTCAGCTAACAATTTCCACAAAATTGGATGAGAATTGTCTTCGATAAATGCAGGTGCTTCCGTTATGCCAACTTTATCTAAAAGTTCCCTCGTATCTCTTAAAGATTTCACTTCTAAATCGAGAATGTGTTCCGGACTGGGTTGTTCTGGATTTTTCATGATTTCGTCAAGCAAAACTCCTCGAATTTCTAAATCCTTAAATGAACATATGTAACCTGCGCTAATAATGGGTTCCTCCGGTTCGTCATTTCTTAAAATATACATACGAGTTTTTTCCATTGTAGCCAACAAGCTTGGATTGTCGCTAGCCCAGCACAAAGCCCACACGTCTTTTCTTTCAGTTGTTGGATTTTGATTGGTTACTGTGTGACTTTTTAATGTAAATTCATTTGATTCTTCAATATTGCGAAAAGTTAAGATTCCGGAAACATCTATAAGAGCACATTTGGTAGAATCACAATTGATAAACATGGAATAGAGTCTATTATGAACGCTGTATCTCAATGTAAGGGCGATATGAGGAAGTGTATAATGTTGTATAACTCCAGATTCTCTAGCTATCAACAGAATTTTGTCCGATGCCGTGATACAGCAGATGGGATCGGATGTGGCAAACGTATCTTTAACAGGCTCATAATTTACGTCCAAGTCTTGAATGACGTCTGCTACACCACAGGGTATGTCATCTATGTGATATATTTTAATTTTTTTATGAACTAAATTAACGGATGAATGAACTTCATGAGCTTTGAAACTCCAAATGGCAAAGTTATTTTTTGAAGCAATAAAAACTGCAGATGAGTTTATGGCTAACCAAAGAGGTTCTATTTCTATATCTTTTGTATCAATTAATGTAGCAATCGAATTAAATAACATGATTTTAAATATTTTCGGATCATCTGTGCGAAATGCAGCAACACAATACATTGAATAACCAGTAATGCCCAGCAAACCGGAAAAATGTTTGATGTGTGTTTCTCCTTTTTTTGTATCCCAAAAACATATGCAAGTTCCTTGTTGATTAAGGCTGTTATATGAATAGACAATAATCCTTCCATTATTAAGGCTCGTCCATTTATAATCAGGCCTGATGTTGGCAAAATATATATGGGAATCTACTGATAGGGCCACTCTGAGTGAATTACCTTCCCATTCGCAACTTGTTACATTCTCACCAGGCACTTTGAGTGTTCTTATGTGTTCTCCGTAGGGATTAAAAAATTGAATAACATTGTTTTCTTTATGCTCATTTGGGAGAATCATTGTTCCGACAACAGCTATGACAGTTCCATTGTGATTCCATTTACAACAAACAGCTTTCATATTAGTATCAATAACCACTGGATTTTCATCATATTCATTTTTCATTAATTGCATGTGTCCACTGTGATAACATAGAGCTAACACTGGACAATGTTCATCGATCAACCCTTGCTTGCCATCATACCAATCCAAACCAACTATTGTTTTAGTTCTAGATGCTACTACAGGACTTAAATGAATGTTTAGTTTTACTGAGAAATTTCCTTGATTATCATATATATGAACCTCACCATTTTGTAAACCAAACAATAAACTCTTACCATGTGGTGCCCATTGAACAGCACTTAATTTAGCTCCCTTAATTTCTTTTCCCCAAATTCGATTTCCATCAACGCTCCCAACTATAACAGCACCATCTTCATAAGTTATGCAAATTTTTTGCCCATCACTGCTCCAAGACATTCCTTTCACTACAGATTTATTTCTATTATTGATCATTTCCTCATACCAAGAACCTTTATACAACATCCAAACAATTATTAAACCATACTGATCACTTGTAGTTAATTTTTGATATATTTCATTCCAGACTATAACTTGAACTTCTCCGCTATGACCCTCAAGAGTTTGATTCATAGACAAATTTGATGGTGCTGCCAAGCCTTTCATTTTATTATCATTTCCAGAATCAAGTTTTAAAATTTTTAAGAGGCCATCACTTCCTCCGACTGCTATATAGCCTTGTTCTTTGTTCCAAGCTAGGCAATTTAATTTTGTGTTATTTGGTATAGCAATTTTTTTACTTAAGTAAATAAACATTTTGATGCATTTGTCTACCTATAATTAAATAATTAGGTTAAAAATAGAATTGATCATTAAATGTTTTTAAAAAAATTAAGAAACTTACAAATTTATTTTTTTAATCAAAACATATTTATTCACGGGAATTCCGGTGAATGTACACCGGAATAAATACAGATTTTTTCACATTTTAGAATAGTTTTGTAAAAGTAATTTCTAAAATATGTGAAAAATTAGTAAGACATAGTACTCAGAAACAAGTCTGTTTCACATAACTAATTTTTAATATTTACTGGCAATTAATAGAAAGCTCTTTCATGTTTTATAGTAGAAAATTAACTACCTCAATAAATTAGAATTTATGTTTTGAATTTAAAACTGTTTCCAAGGTAATTAACCGGATGTGACTTTAAACTTAAACAGTCATAACGGAATAACAGCTTAAACGCCATCTTTAGAATAAAGCTTAGAGTTAATAAAAATTTTGCCTTTCATAACTTGCTCTTTCTATTTCCAGCGTTTAATTCTTTGTTGATATATCACCAAGAAATGATTCCGCAAATTTGAATTATCAAAAGTATTAATTTTTTTTTTACATAGGCAAAAATCTAATTTTGCAAATAAAATAAATAAATAAGCGTTAATTATCATCTTATTTTGTATTTTTGAAGGTTAATTTATTGTAAGTATAGCTTTTTTTCCAATTTTCAGTGGAATGATATTTATGCAATTTTTAATAATCCAATGTAATATCAAATTAGAATCGTTATATAAAATTTTGTTTTATATTAATTATAAATATATTTAATTTTAGAAATATAACGTAATGCCTACCAACGAAGTCGTGACAACCAAGGTTGTCGTTCATCCTTTGGTTTTACTCAGTGTTGTAGATCATTTTAATAGGATGGGTAAAATAGGTAACCAAAAAAGAGTAGTAGGAGTTCTTTTAGGCTGTTGGAGAGGAAAAGGAGTTTTAGATGTGTCAAATAGTTTTGCAGGTATTTAATTTTTATTTTACTTATGGCATTAAAAATCTAATTATTATTATTTAAGTTTCTGCATTTGAAATTGTAATTTTTCACATTTGCTTAATACTTTTTTAAATCAATTTTAAGGATTTCTTTTTCATGTTAATTATTTTATTATTTGTTAATGTTTTAATAAGAAAAACCTTATATTGTGATTTCATTGATATTAATTTCAGTTCCATTTGATGAAGATGAAAAGGATAAAGATGTTTGGTTTCTCGATCATGACTACCTTGAAAATATGTACAGTATGTTTAAAAAAGTCAATTGTAAGTTCATAGAAATTCAAATTAAAATTTTTTTAATTTTATAAATAATTTGGATTTCAAAACGAGCTTTTGTATTTTAGCAAGGGAAAAAATAGTTGGTTGGTATCACACTGGCCCGAAATTATATAAAAATGATGTTGCAATCAATGAATTGGTTCGAAGATATTGTTCAAATTCAGTTCTTGTTATAATTGATGCCAAACCCAAAGATCTTGGGCTTCCCACAGAGGCCTACAGAGCTGTCGAGGAAGTTCATGATGTAAGCATTTAAAACTCTTACTTTGTAATTTGATAGATACTTACTTTAAAAATCTGTTTTTATGTAGTTTTAATTGTGTAAAATAAAATAATTAATACTAATATAATAACTTATTACTTACATGTAGGATGGTTCTCCAACTTCGAAAACATTTGAACATATTCCTAGCGAAATTGGTGCCGAGGAAGCAGAAGAAGTCGGAGTTGAACATTTACTCAGGGACATAAAAGACACGTCCGTAGGAACATTATCTCAAAAAATAACCAATCAACTTTTGGGTTTGAAAGGTTTACAACGTCAGGTTCAAGAAATAAAAAATTATCTAGAGCAAATAGTTCAAGATAAATTGCCCATAAATCATCAAATCGTTTATCAATTACAAGATGTATTCAATCTCCTTCCCGACATGTCTCAGAAAACAATGTCGGATTCGTTATATGTGAAAACAAACGATCAAATGCTCGTTGTTTATCTTGCTGCTCTTTGTAGATCCATCGTTGCTCTCCATAATTTAATTAACAATAAGCTTACAAATAGGGATGCTGAAAAAAAAGAAGCAAATAAAGATATTATTAAAGAAAAGGATAAAAAAGAAGATAAACCGAAAGAAGAAGTAACGGCGGGAAAAGAAGATAAAAAGAAATAATAATTTTTATAATATTGGAATTTTCATTTTCTCTTTAAATAAATTTTTTTTTTTAAATTTAATTTAATTTAAAGAAATTAAATTTTTCATTAAAAAAATGGATTATGATTCTAACCTTTTATTTTTATTTCTTTTTTTTTTTTTTACATAAAGAAAAAGAAAAACATTTTTTCAAAAGGAAACAATTTACGCGATATAACCATTGGAAAATTGGAAACAAAATCGGCGTTTCGAACTAATTAAATTTTTACATTCGCACAAATTTTATCTTATTTAATACGAAATATTTTAACACGGAGTTTAGTTTCATATAATAAATAAATAAATAAATAAAAATTGAACCGAAAATAAAAGAAAAAAAAAATAAAAATGTTAGAAATCATCAATTTAAATTCAATTCAAAAAAATCAACGGACCAACACGAACAAGATGACAACATCATTATAATTTTACGCAATGTCTTTTTTATATACCTGTAAATAATTAATTTTAACGTTTCGTGATTTAGTCGTAATTTTTAATTTTTTCCTTTTTTTTTTTTTTTTTAGTGCACACACACTCATTAAAAGAGAAATTTTTAAAAGGGGGAAAAAGAAAATTAGAAATTACGAAATTATTGTTTTTAAAATTTGTTAAACCGAATAAAAATTTCAAATAATTAATAATAATCGATATTAAAGAAAATTTGAAAAAAAATATACAAATACTTACAATCAATCAAATTTTACAATTTTTTTTTTTTGTTTTTTAAACAATTAATTACATCAACAAATTAGTAACATTAATTAAAAGAAAAAGAGAAGTGATGATAACTGTAAAATAAAAACAAAAAAGAACACAAAAATGTTTTGGAAGTAAAAACCTACCGAATAATTTCCTTTTTTTTTAAGGGTAAATGTTTTTTTTTTTTTTAATAAATTTTTTTATTAAAACTTTAACAAATATTTATATTATTAACCGCGTAAGTAAGATAAAAAAAATTTACATTTGGTAGATTTCAAACAATAAATTTCTGGTTGGTAGATCTCGATTCTTTATTTTTACCGGTAGTCAAGAAATGCTGGAGTTTCACCTATTATAAGAATAATGCGTGGTTACCCAACATGAAAATGAACACACACAAAAAAATTTTTTTTTTTTTTGATACAAATCAGTCGAGTACCGTTCGTCTCAACATGAACATTTTATATTCATTATTATTATTATTATAAAAAAATCAATTTTTTAAATCGAAAATATCATTAATAATAATAATATTAAAAGAAAAGAAAAAAAGTGTGAGCTCAAAAATTGTTTTTTTTATGTTTTCAACTCGACGTTTTTTTTTTTTTTTTTAAAAAAGTTTGGGTAAGTTTTTCTTCTTCTTTTTTTTTTTTTTTTATTTAAATAAAATAATTTTTTAAATTAGAAATTAGAAATTTTTATCGGGAAGTATTTTTTAATTCAAATTAATTTACAATTTAATTTTAATTTAATTTTTTTTTTTTTAAATTTAAAAATCTATAAGGAAAAAAGAAAAAAAATTTTCATGAATTAAAAATTAAATTAAATTTAAAGTTAAAGAAAAACTTTTAAATAAGAATGAAAATAATAATAATAATAATAGGTTTAATAAGGTTTTTTTCCCATTAATTTTCTTTTAGAAAAGCTTTTAAAAAAATATTCGATGTGTGACGTCATTAATTAATTTTCTTTAAATTTTATTATTTAAAAAAAAACGGAAACAAAAATTATTTACTCGTCGTAGTTTGTATGTAAATTATTTCGCAATAAGTTTAAATAATAATAATAATAATAATTTTTTTTTCGATTTTCGAATATTATTGATTTTTAAAATAATAATAAATATTACGGAAACGTAACGGTTTTTTTTTCTAACACGAATTTTTAACCGTTAAAAAAAAAAATGAAAAATGTTTTAAAAAATTTATTCGGTTTTTTTAAAGCAAGGATTTGAGGCAACAAATCGTAAAAAAAAAAAAAAAATTAATATTAAAGAGATTTAAATTTATTTTCGGGGGGGCGGGGGGAGGGGAAAAAACTGTTGTGATTGATTTCCGTAAAATTTATTTCACTTTAGAAACAAAATAATAATAATAATAATAATTTTTCAATTTGTAAAATTACATCGCGAAAAATTGTTTTTTTTTAAAATAATTTTTTCATTTTGATACCGTTAATGATGGCTTTTGCGGTTTTAATTATTTTGCCTTAATTAAAATGTCTTAATCTTTCTAACTTAATGAGTTCTTTTGTTTGTTTGTTTGTTTGTTTAAACCGTAGCAAAATATTTTATTTTTTAAAAACCGTTGATTCTTTTAAATAATCCAAAAAAAAAAGAAAAAAAAATTCACGTAAAAGGGATTTTAAATTCAATTCGTATTATTAACTTTTCAATAAATTTTTTTTATTATTAATTTATTAACGGTTTAATAATGATAATAATAATAGTTATTATTATTGTTTTTTGTTTTTCTCGCGTGCCTTTTTTACATTTGGACAATTTCACTTTCTTTTTCGTTCTTACAAATTTTTCGGACCTTGAGCGTAATCACGAACCGATTAATAAAATCCGTTATTTACACTTTTTAATGTGAAATTAAAAAAAAAAAAAAAAAAAATTTTAATTTTTGCAAAAATTTTTCTTCCATTTTAACTTTCACCGTAAAAATTAAATCGAAAATAAAATTCGTTCGTACGTTTTATTTCCGTCGAATTTTCCAACGTGCGAAAAATATTTTTTAAATTTTTCATTTTTTACCCTGTTCCAATTATTAGGAAATAATCGATTAATTTAAATAAATTCCGAAATTATTTATCAATTTAAAATAATAAAAATAAATAAAAAATGAAAATTATTTTTTGAACAATGCAAAAAAATTGGAAAATTTCGTAATATCCGGTTAGAAAATTAAAAAAAAAATTAAATTTTTTTTTTACTGGCGGCACGCTAAGTTTGTGATTTTAATTGAATTCGCTCACCGTAAAGATGAAAACCGTTGGTTTTAACTAAAATATGATAATAATAATTATTATTATTCTTTTATAATAATTATTATTATTATCATTATACTTTGGTCTGATTCGTTTATTAATCGTTTATAATAATATTTTTTTTTTTGGAAATATCGCTCAATTTTTTTTTAAAAATTTTTGAATTTTCGGTTTTGTTTATAATTTCGTCATATATTATTATTGTATTCCAATGATAAAATTTTGGTTTGATTTATCATTTTTTTATTTTTTATTGAAAACCTGAACCGTGACGGAAAATTTTCTGACTGGTCTAATACCTTTTGATAATTTTAATAGTATTGACGTAGACTTTACGGTTGAAACGTTTCTTTACAATAAATTTTACCAGCTTGAAAAAATTGTTTGAAAAATTTCAAATGTGTTTTTTTGTATAACGAATTTAAAGATCCAAGTAACCTAATTAAATTTTTATTATTGTTTCAAAACTATTCGTTTGGGAAAAAAAAAAAAAATTTTCCGATTCGCGACACGTTACAATCAATTTTTTGTTATTGAAATTTTTTAGTAGGTTCAAAATGAAGTAATGAAGATCATGCAGCAGGATACTGAAGGGTGGTGGCTCTTGGTGTCCATGCTTTTTCTCACCAAGATGGCCTCGACCAATGCCCAATTTTGTCCATCGTCAGAAGTTATTTTACCGTGTACTTGTAATACGGTCGATGGAGAAATTCAAGTTTGGTAAGAGTTGACAAAAATTTTCGAGGGAGAGAGAAAAAAAATGAAACGACTTACCGTTAAGACGAATATCCTTCCATTTTATTTTTTCAGGTGCACTTTCAGCGGATTGAAAAATCTCGTTGGAGCACTTAAAAGTTTAGGATCGCATTTACAATTTTCAATTGGAGAAATGATTTTGGAAAGTAATAATTTACCCTCGCTTCCCGGAAAGACTTTCGAAGGAGTTCGTGTAAATAGATTAATGCTCAGAGATAACGGTTTGGAAAGAGTCACGTCCAACTGGTTGGCAACACTTGAAGATACTCTATTAGAACTATTCGTTGTAGAACCAAGGTTGAGAACATTACCGGACGATTCGTTGGATTATTTAACTGAAATTGAAGCAATCACATTACAGGGGGGACTCATGAAAAGAGTTCCTAAATTATCTAGTCTTCATAAACTTCGTTACCTTCAAATTTATTCTCCAGTTTTAAGCGAACTCCTTCCGAATAATTTTGAAAATTTGCCATCGTTAGAACAACTTCACGTGATCGGAAGTCCGTTGTTGAGCAAACTCGATTCTAAAATAATGAAAAATTTAAACAAATTAAGTTTGTTAAACGTGTCAAATTGTGGATTGACTTGGATTCATCCAAAAGCTTTTCATAACTTACCTAATCTGATAGAAATTGATTTAACCAACAATAGAATTTTAGATGGCGGAATTCTAGGAAGAGCTTGCAGAGATCTTATAAGTTTGCAAGTTTTGAACGCACGTAAAAATTTCATCGATCGCTTATCGGAAAATACATTCGTTGATATGCCTTCTTTGAGAGAAATTTATCTTGCGGAAAATATGATAAACGAAATACAAAAAGGAGCTTTTAAAAATACGCCATCTCTAAAAATTTTAGACCTGAATAAAAATTCTCTGAAAAAAATTAATGCTAATGCTTTTATATATCCATCGGGAGCATCTCTAGAAGAGTTATGGTTGACCGACAATCATTTATACTCCATCGGAGATATAAAAATGTTGTTTTCTTCTCTTCCTCGACTAAAATTTTTAGACTTGAGTCGAAATTCTTTGGAACAAATACCCTTCGATTCGTTGAGAGGTCATCCGACGTTGGAAAATCTTCGTTTGGATGAGAATAAAATTCAAAAAATCCCTAGGAAAGCTTTTTCTGGAATGTCATCATTAAGAGAATTAAGTTTGCGGAACAATTCATTGGTTGATTTTTCTGAAGGTCCTCATTGGAATTTGCCATTTTTAAAAGGTTTAGATTTATCCCAAAATCAAATAAGAAGATTAGATTCTGGTTTATTGACGTATTTGCCCTCTTTGAGAAGATTGGACGTAAGTAGAAATCTTATAGAAACGGTCATGTCCGATAGTTTTATGGGAAATCTCGAACTTGAAACGATTAATCTATCGAGAAATTACATTTCATCATTTCACGGATTGACATTTAATTATTTGCCAAAATTGTACGAATTAGACGTAAGTTGGAATCTACTTCGAGAAATGATACCCGGTATTCCGAAAAACATAGAATATTTAAGACTCAATAAAAATCAAATTCTTCATCTTCCTCCCGAGATAAATTTACCGGCTTTAAGATTGTTGGACCTGAGTGGAAATTTATTACGGATGGTGCATAAAAATACTTTTAGGCCTTTGGTAAGGCTTCAGTGGTTATTCCTCCATGATAATTCACTGGATGATATAGCAGTTGGTGCAATGAACGGTTTGAACAAATTAGAATTATTAAATATTCGAAATAATCGTATTCGAGTGATTCACGACAGTTGGCTCCAGCATTCGACGGATTTAAACGAGATTAACGCTCAAGGAAATTTAATTGAAGGATTATCCAATGATTTTTTAAAAAATAATCCAAACATAAAAATATTACAATTGTCAAATAATAAAATAACAAACATAAAACCATTGGCGTTTTCAAATTCGAAACAATTAATTGATTTAAATTTATCGAACAACATGTTAAATCATTTTCCGGAAGCTTTTCAAAATTTACACGAGTTAAAATTATTAGACATTAGTTTTAACAATATCCGTTCGCTTCAACCGTTCGCACTACAATCTTTGCCATCTTTAAAAGAACTTCGAATGAGCAATAACAGACTCAATCAAATACCGCCGAACACGTTTAAAAATCTTCTCAATTTAGAATTTTTAGATTTGGATAACAACGAAGTTGAAACATTATCCAGCGGTGCTTTTCATTCTTTGCCAAGTTTGATAGCCATTCGATTAAGTAAAAATAAATTAACTAAATTACCGGAGGAAACTTTTATAGATCTTCCAGAGCTTCAAAGTGCTGAACTTCAATCGAATAAAATATTCGAAATACCGGAAAATTCTTTCGTTAATGTGCCTCATTTGAGTTATTTAAATTTGAGTTATAACGAAATCGTTAGATTGGATAAATCGGGAATAAAAGAATTAAAATCTTTAGAAGTTTTAGATTTGAGTCATAATAAAATATCCTGGATAGAAGGAAGAAGTTTTTACGGAATGGAATGGTTGGTAGAATTAAAAGTAAGTTAATTGTAAAAATTATTTTTCCAAAATAAATATTTATAAACTCTCACTTGTATTCTGCATAAAGTTCTACTCTGCTTATTTTTTTTTTTTTTTAAATAAAATTTTTCTATTTGTATTCTATTTTAAATAACAATAAATAAATAAATAAATAATAACAATACTAATAATTTTTGACCTGCCAAAATTATTGTTATACAAAATCCATTGTATGTAATCAGCCAAGTATTTAATTATTTTTCAAAAAAAAGTTTTTTCCTGTTTTTTCTAAAAATTTTCTTTTAAAGAATTATTATTACTTTCTCTATTTATTTATTTAAAAGAAAAAAATTTTTTTCTTTCTTTTTCAGATGGATAATAATTTGATTTGTAATATTAGAGGAGCTCCTTTCAATCATTTATCCAGGCTAAGAGTTTTAAGTTTAAAAAGTAATAGAATGACAAGCGTTACCGAATACGCTTTTCAAAAATTAAGAAACAATGTTGCCTTATTGGATATCGATGGTAATCCGTTGTCTTGTTCTTGTAAAATGTTATGGCTCATCAATTGGCTCGATGATGTACAATCCGAAGGTCCTAAATGCGCGGATGGAACGTTATTTCGCGACGTCAGACTTTCGCGAGAAGAATGTGGAAAAAGCAGAGTTATAGAACCCGTCATTCCAGGATGCGAAGGTGACACCGTACAAAGTTCGGTCGTCGAAACTGCTCAATTATCCGCTTTGACGTCACATTTAAAAAATTCCACACAAGGATTATTGCCCCACGAAACGGATTATTTTTACGACGAATACATTGAGTACCAATACGAAGAAATAAACGGTACTCAACCGCAATATGAAACGTCTTTTGGCACGACAGAAAATCCAATCACGGTAACAAAAAAAACATATCACATGACACCAGGCGACACTCCGACTCTTTATGCTAGTCCTGCAACACAACCAAAATTCAACTTGACGAATCCAGGTTTGGGTATGGACGATGTGAAAAAAGCCCAACAACAACAACAGTACAGCGGTTTAACATTTTTTGGTATTCCCCTACCGAGTCTTTCATTTGGAAATTTATGGAAGGGTAATTCAGCAAGAAGCGTTGATCAAACTCAAAAAAATTCTTTCGTCATCGGTAAAGTTCAACCATTACCAAAGAAACCAGATATTTCTACAATTCAACCCGTGATTAAATCCCAAACGGAAGTTAATTTTATACCAACAGTGCCAGTCAAAACGGACTTTTCGACCGTACTCGATACGAATACAAAAAAAACTCATTCCACGTTATCGAGTCCGATACTACAGGGTATAGTAACTCCTGTGGAAAAACCCAACACTTTAAAAACAACACAATATGAAGATTTCATAAGCGATCAAACCGGAATAAAGTTAACAACAGTTTCGACCGAACCTTACATAGCTAAATTACATTTAAATACAGAATTGGTGAGTCCGGTAAGCCGTAATTCAACCGTCCTAGAAGTGGCAACACTTCCTCCATGGTCTACCTTATCCGCGGAAGAACCAAAATACACAGTGCCTGATTACGATTATGCTCAATGGAATCAAAAAAATATATTATCAACGACATCAATTCCGGAAACGACAAAAGATATTTTTCACATAGACGATATAAAACCTAATGATATGAATAATGAAAAAAACAATTGGTATTTTGAAAATTACAATAAAACAAATTTGGAGCCTTACATAGGAATAAATATAGGTAGTAGCAATACGAGGAAAATTCTCATTTGGAAAATATTATTATTTATGTCATTCCTCCTTGTAATTCGATGAATAACATGTTGAATTTTCTTTTTAATTAAATAAATAAAACATTTTATTTTATTAAATAGCGATCGGTAGTATTATTAATAATAATTATTATTATTTTTCCTTTAATTTTCCTAATCAAATTTTCCGATGGTAAAAAAATTTTTTTATTTTTTCGAAATATTTTTATTTAAAAAAAAAAAAATGACGGTTATATTAAATAATATGTATATTATTAATTACTTATGTATATATATATATAAATATATACATACATATTTATAATAAAATAACTACAGAATCTATATAAAAATTAAAAAAAAAAAAAAATGGGAGAAAACTGGTTCTTTTTTTTTTTTGTTTTCATATATATATATAATTACATAAGAAACTACTATCCATTTTAAAAACATTTCCAATTAAAAAATTTAAACACAAAAATTAAATAAAAAAATTAAGAATTAAAAAATTGAAATTATTTTTAAACTTGTATCCCTCTCTCTCTCTCTCTCTTTTTATTGCTTGGTTATTTATTATTATTATTATTATTATTATTATTATGATAAAGAGGAATGTTTTGATAATAATTTTTGGACTACTATAATGGTTGAGATCACAGATTATTATATTCGTTATTAATGTCAGTCTATATAATAATAATTAAGAAAAATTTTTTAATAGAATTGGCATCGTGATTTATTTATTTAAAAAAAATCGATAAATCAATTTATCGATCCAAATACTAATTAAAATACTTTTTATTGAAATCGAATCGGAATATTTGACTAAAATGTTTTACTTTCTTCCATGAGTGATGATGATAATAACAATCATACATTTTTTTCATAACTCGTCATTATCCATCCATCAAATTGATTAAATAAATAAATAAATAAAAATTTTAGGGAAACAAGTTTTTTTTTTTTTTTTAATTAATTTCAATTACAAATTATATTATTATTATTATTATTATTATTATGACGTTTAAATAATAAATAAAAAATTTCTCTCCTATTTCTATTCTTTTTTGAATCTAATAAATGCATTTTTATCGAATAAATTTAAAAACCACGTTAAAAAGTAAAGCGCACTTTTTTCTTCCTCTTTTGTTTGTTTGTTTGTTGTTGTTGTTGTTTTTCAACATTTAAAAAATTAAATAATTAATCAATTACTATCAGTAACGAAAAGAAAAAAAAAAAAAAAATTTCTCCCATAACACAAAACAAAAAAAAAAATCAAAAATTGATTTCCCCAAATTTTTTTTTCTTTTTATAAAGTCTAAATTTTTTTTATATATTTTTTATTTTATTAAATACACAAAAGCATATAAAAATTTTATTATTATTATTATTATCATTATCATTATTATTTATTTTTAAAAACATTTTTTTTTTTTTATTTTTTTAATTTATTTTATAATAACTTATATAAAAATTGTTTACACTTAATTCTCTTTTCACAATTATTATTAATAATAATATATTATCATTACTCATTTATTTATTTATTTAATAAAAAAAAGCAACCCTTACAGTAGTAAGTAATAGTAATAATAATAATAATATTAATAATAATAATAATAAATTTAAATAAGAAGTCTTTTTTTTTCTTTCTTATCTTTTATCTAAATGATAATTTTTTAAATAATAGATAAAATAAGAAATTATAATCAATTTTTTTCATATGGTCGTCTATTTATTACGGTAATAAATAATAATAATAATTTTTTTTCTGTATATATATATAATATATATATATATATATATATATATATATATCGCTTATATCACATAAATAATATTATAACTAAAAATAATAAAATTTTATTTAAAATAAAAAAAAAAAAAAAAAAAAATAGAAAAATAGCGAAACGAAATCGTTACAAAATAGCGTATAAAAAAAAAAAAAAAAAAAAATTTTCTTTATCAAACGTTATAAATTAAAATAATAATAATAATAATTATTTTTTTTTTGTTTAAAACCTAAGTAATACAGGTAATCGAAGAAAAAAAGAAAAAAAAAAGAAAAAAAGAAAAATGTCAAAGGTCAGGTTGAATTTAATTAATTTTTTAACTTACACGTTGATGATTAAAAAAATTTTCATCGTTTTGACAATTAAAAAATCATCCTATCGATTATTATTATTATTATTATTATTACCATTATTATTATCATCATTATTATAATATTATATGAAAAAAAATGCCTATTTATTATTATTATTATTATGAGATCAATTTAAAAAAAAAAAAAAAAATTAAAATTAAAATAATAATAATTATAGAAAAAAATTAATCGAATGTTTCCATCCATTGTAAAAACGAATCCTTTGGTGAATTAAACAAAAAAATCAATCAATCAATCACCGTTTTTATTAATTAATAATAAGTCGACTGATGATGATAACGTTTATAAAAATTAAATTCAACCTTACAAAAAAAAAATAATAAAATTTTTTTCTTTTTTTTTTTTTTCTTTCTATTTTTTTACCTGATATTTTGTATAAAGTTTTCATTTATTTATTTATTTATTTATATACAAAGTATAAACGAATACGAATGGAAAGATATGTCCATAATCATCATCATCATTATATATATATTCAAATCGATTCACTTCGCAAAAATTAATAATAATAATAATAATAATAATAATAATAATAATAATAATAATAATAATAATAATGAAAATGAAACAAACGAAAATCATCAAAACATTTACAAGCAATTATCATTACAAATATTTAATATTATTTTCCACAGACTTATCCATTATTAATAACCTACCAAAAATCTACCGAAAAAAAAAATAATAATAATAATAAAATTTTTTTTTCCTTCTTTTTTTTCTTTCCCCCGCCCCCCACTCCTCCCATTTCCACTCCCACTCCCCTCCCCTTCACTTCCCTCTTTCAAGCTATTTGTAATTCATAATACATACGTACATATATATATATATATATATATATATATATATATATATATGTAATTTTCCATACATGAGTTTTAATAATTTTTTATTAGTCAAAAAAAATTTTTTTTTCTTTTCTTTTCTTTTCTCTCTTCTTAGGGAATCGTTATGAAATCCATGACTTATACGTTACGAAATAATAATAATAATAATAATCATAATCATAATAATAATAAAGTAAAAAAATTATTTTTGGTCGGTGGAAACGAAAAAATTTCATTCCTTAAAAAAAAAAAGGGGGGGGGATGTTTATTTCTTCGGGTAATTAAAATAGGAATTGTTTTAAGGCTCACGTCGAACCCTATTTCGAGGAGCGCACGTGCGTACACGTGTACGTACATGTCCGCGCTTTTTTTTCTCTTAATAAATCCGAAAAAAAAAAAAAAATAATGATAATTAAAAATGTCCTTTTTTTTTTTTTTTTTAATTCACGTGCGTTTCGATGCTTTTGCCAAAATTTTATTCGATAGTAATTTCCATTATCTACGAATGCCGTCTAATTTTATGGCTGAAAAAAAAAAAAAAAAAAAAAAATATTTTATATAATTTTCACACTTCCGCCTCATTTTCACACTTTTTCTCTCTCTCTCTCTCTCTCTTTCCCCCCTTTCATCCCCCAACTTCGGATCGCCAAAAATGTCGTTGCGGATTATTCCGACGACCACCGTAACCGACACCGATAAATATCGTTTTTACCATCGTAGTATTTATTAAGCCTTATCGATATTTTATATTTTTTGCTCGGTTTTAAAATTACCACAACGTGATAAACTAATAATAATAGGCCTGATAAAAGAGTCGCCAATCAAAAATATAAATTCCCACCCAAATAATTCCACGCCTTAAAAATGAGAGAGAAAAAAAAAATGGCTCGGGATGCGTGTGTGTTCACGCGTGACGGTTCTAGTATTTTCCGGTCATTAGAGAGAGTTTTCCCCAAACGCACACGCGTTCATGCATTTGGTATAGTATTGGTGTTTCAACGCGGTTGAGACAACACACCTGCATGCGCAACCAATGAACCACTGCCTGGATGATATGGTCCAGTAGTAAGTAATCTAGAAAAACAAATATAAAAAAAAAAAAAAACTCACCGTCTATGATTTCCATTTTCATTTTTTGAAATTCTCGTCTAATTTCTTTCAATATTTCTTGTTTGAACAATTCGAGATCTTGAGATGATATTCCGACGTTGTTCAATTCCTCGCACAAACCGTTCACGTTCGCTTTGTTTGAATATTCGTCTGACGTCGCATCAGGTCCGAATTTTTTCTTTATAGATTTCGGCGATTCGTCTCCGGTGCTACTTCCGAAATTTGTTAGTTTAATATCTACTTTGTTTTCGTTTATTACTTTTTTTTCTTGATGAGAATTTCCAGTTTCCTGTTGAGTGTACGGGTGCGTGTTTTATAATTAACGGTTAATTACTTCCGATTAGAATTAAATTTTAATTTTTTTTTTAATTACTCTTTTATGACTACTCACCTCATCGTTGAGATCCTTCTTTTCCGCGGCGGCCCTTCGCCGAGCCAATGTTTTCGCCATTTCGTCCATCATACTAGCCATAGAACCCATTCCGCCACGTCCTAAAGTCCCGTAATTACTTCCACCGCTGCTTGTACTTGAACCACTGTTTTCGGCGGATTGCTAATACACGCACACACACACACCCACACGAAATATATTTACATTATTACCGCAGATAAAATTTTTTAATTACATTTTTAAATAATTTTGTTTTTACCCTACCTTGGTGGTGCTTCCAAGAGTATTCGATCCATTATTATTAATTCTTCGTAATCTGGCAGATTGAATTTGAGCAGCTAAAGAATTACTATCGTGTCCGTCGGATGATGACGATCTTGGCATATTAGGAGGTGGCGGGGGTGGAGGAGGAGCGCTTTGAACCTGAGCTGGTTGTACCGAAGGAACATTATTAATCCCTCCTCCTCCTCCTCCCCAAACTGGTGGTGCAGGGGGTGCCGGCGGAGCTCCGACAGGTTGACAAGGAGAAGCTAAAGGTGTTAGCTGAGGTGGTTGCGGAGCGGGAGGTGCCGACGATGTACGATGATGTCCCTGCGAACCCTGAGATCCCACAGCGGCATTCGGACTTTCAACTGACAAAAAAAAAAAAAAAATTTTAAATTATCACGTGTAATAATAATAATAAAAAAATTCAATTAAATTACGACGCCACTCACTTAATTGAGCTTGTGACACGCGTCGCTCCATGCAGGGTACTTCATCTCTTTGATTCATCCTGCTGTAACAAAAAAAAAATTACAAGTTCTTATAAAGAATTCAATTTACATTTAAATTTAAGTTTTTTTTTTGTTGTTGCGAAACAAAATAAAATATGATTAAAAATAAATTTTCTGGTGTGAATTTTAAATGTCTGTTTTGTTTCAAATTTAATTTAAACTTTTCAGCGTGTATACGAACATTCAGTTCGCTAATTCAAAAAAACTTAAATTTATTCCACGCAATCCACCACTCGGCAAAAAAAAAAAGAAAAAAGGAAAAGTGGAAAAAAAAACTAATACTACTTTTCGTGAATCATTCATTCATATACGATCGAAAACAAAATTTTAATTCGAATAATTTCTTCCGAATAAACCGGATGATAAACTTCAATTCCATAATTTGCAATACAATCAATCCATCAATCAATGAGGCGTGACATAAATAAAAAAAAAACCGTAGTAGCAAATTAATGGAGGAAAAAAAAAAAAAAAAAAAACTCGTACCTGTATTCGACTTCCTCTTCGTTAGTTTGACCGTTGACATTATATGCGTTTGTGTAGTAAACTTGTTGGTTAATTGAAATAACTGGAGCCGGAGCAGCAGCCGGCATGCGATTTATGATATTACTAAGAGTCTGGAAAAACAAAAAAAAAAAAAAAGTCGAAATTATTTACGAGCGTAAAATTGGAGAGTACTTACACTTACAACTTTTTTGCTGTTTTCTTTCTTTGCCCCCCCCCCAAAAAAAAAAAAAAAAAAAAAAAATAAAAATTTTTTTTTATTTAAATAATAAATTTCGTAACGCGATTAATTTGAAAACCTTTCACGTTTATTAAAAATCGTTTTTGCCCTTTGACTCGTAATTACTTTTCAATCGAATGGAAAATTCAGGTTAACGGTTTTTCTCTAGAGAAATAATGTGATTTTTTTTTTTTTTTTTTTACGATCGCTGATGAAAAGGTATCAAACAAATATTTATGTCCTTTTTATCCTTTTTATCCTTTTTTTCTTCCTTTCCTTTCTTTTTTTTTAAAGAAAATCACGCACGTGTTATTGATTCGATTTCTTTTTTTTTTCCCCCTTCCCCCCCAACCTCGTGTGTCCAAACAATGGTGTTCAAGGTCCGGTCACGGGTTTTCGGACAAAAATTGACAATATTTAAATAACAATTGTAGGGATGGGTCTTCTCTTTTATTTATTTATTTTTTTTTAACAAAAAATTCTATTCTTAAACTTTTTTTCTGGTATGTATCGGTTTTTAAATTATTATTTTTTTTCTAAAACTTTTTAATAGAAAATTTGAAAAAATAAAAGTTTAAATAAAAAAAAACAATTCGAAAAATGTTGCATGATGACGAATTATTTATTAGTTTTCCCGAGTTTAAAAACAAAAAATTCGTTGCAACAAAAAAAAAAAAAAGGATTCGTTTTAAAACATTTAAAATCACACGCGAAACATTAATTCCGTGTCCGCCGCAAAACAATTTTTAAAAACACGAGTTTTTTCCAACGGGTTTTTTTCTTTTTTTATTGAAATAAATGGATTTGCGAGTACTCACATCTAAGGATAAAAACATGGCTTTAGCAAAGGCATCGGCATCTTCTTTACTGCTAAAATTTAATCCGTAAACTTGTTTGCTGTCTCGCCACTGGTGAAACGTTGCCGTCGCCTGATTATATTTCAAACCTTTGGATATGGCGCAGTTAATGACGACTTCGTGGTCGTGAAGTTTTCTTCCGACGACTCGAAAGGTATTGTTCACGGTGTGATGATAAATCTGAACTTTTGATAAACCCGAAGAAGTACCAGAGGGAATCCATTTCTTCGTCGTGTCATCGTATATCATAACGGACGCCCGCGCCGACGCTATGCTTAGCTCACTGTAAAAAAATATTAACAATTATTTGGTTTAATTTTTAAAAAAAAACTATTTATCGAGAGAAAGAGAAGTGAGAGGAGAGAGAGAGAGAGAAAAAAAACTAATAAAAAGTACACACACACACACACAATACAAGCTTGTGAAACCAAGAAGGGGGCCAAACAAAAATAAGTTTAGTCATTCTATTACAGGGTTTTTCCCCCCCTTTGGCCTCAATGCGATCGGATCACCAAAATTAGAAAGTCAGATCATCAGGAAGTTGTTGATTTCTTTTAAAAATTTCTTCATGATGGTATTTTTTTGTTTTTTTAAGAAGATAAAAATATCTGACGACATTGGTACGCCCTTCTCTCTCTCTCTCTTACTTTTTCGTTGAAACATTATTAATTGATATCAATTACGTTGAATTTTTTAAACAAGACGATCGTTTTCATTTCAATAAATTTTTAATTGCTTTTAACGCACATTCATTTGTTAATTGCAACAACAACAACAACAGTTTTTATTTTAACAAAAAAAACAAAAATTAAAAACTTTCTTTTAATATTGACGAGAATTTTCGTGGGGAGGGAGAGAGAGAGAGAGAGAATTTATTAGAGCAGACATCTTGTATTATATATTATGACGATGATGTTTTTATATACCTATTATCAAAAAAATTTACATACTTTTTAGGGGAGAAAGTGTTCGATGCCATTAAATCGAAGAAGAACTTTATATCGAAATAAAAAATTAATCCGGAATCAGAAAGTCAAAGCGTTGGAGGAGAACTCAATAATATCAATTATTGTAAAATGCGGTCAATATTACAAAATGAAAATTATCGATCGTTTCATCTGTCAATCATTTAAAAAAGAAATTCAAAAAATCAATATTTCTTTTTTTTTTTTTTTTGACAATTAATCAAAGTAATAATTCTCCTCCTCGTATTTAACACAGCGGATCGAAAATAAATTTAAAAAAAAAAAGATTTAGAGGACAACAATTAATATTCCATGTTTGTCCAGGGTAGGAAACTTATTGCCAACTTAATTACAACATTAAAATTATTTCATCACAATTATTTGCTCAACAAAAAAAAGAGTAAAAGGAAAATTCGATTTTTCTCTCTTTTTTTTTGTTTTTCTTCCGGAAACCGTTCGTTCGTTTTGATTTTATATTAAAAAATTTTCCGGTGTTTGATATTCTACCGACCTTGTGTTAACCAATGTTGAAATCTGGTCTCCAATCAACATCTTGCTCTTCCTCGGGCTAAATACAAGTTTTATTTCTGGATTTCTGAGCCAAACATTTTTTTTCCCGAAACTTTGTTTTTTATTATTATTATCAATATTTATTTTTTTTTTAATTTCTCGAGAATTCTGGATTTTAAATGGATGACGAATATATAAAATTTAAAGAGAATTTTTTTTTTTTTTTTTTACTTATCACCATCTTTTTAAAAAATTACGTAACGCGAAGCAACGTGTACAAACGTAAAACGTACAATCAACCTGAAAATGCTGTTTAATAAATAAAAAAAAAAAAAAAAAAAAACTTGTGCCTTCGACAAAAAAAAAAGTTTCTCCGATTCGAATTAATTATTATTCTTCATTTAAAATCCATTAAATTTACAAAAATGGCCATTTATTGGCTTTAATCCATTCGACGATATAATTGGGTATAATAATGCAATGAACAAACGGATATATTGTTCCAATATAAAATATTTCAAATTAAATTATCCCTTAGCCTAACTAAAATCAAATAAAAAAAAAAAAAAATTGCAAACCAATACGAAAAAAAAAAAAAAAATTAGGAAATGAAAAAAGGGACATTGAACACAATCACAATCAGAACAGTGACCTTTTATCAATTATCAAAATAATCAACAACACACGGTTTTTTTTTGGAAAATATCCCCGATTAAAATTATTAAAAAAAAAAAATTTCACCATTTTTGTTTTTATTACTTACATCATTTTTAATACTTTAAATAAATGTATAAATAATTTTTTTTTTTTTTTCCTCAAGAAAATTTAACACTTTTAAGGCACAAAATTTACAAATAATTTTCCTATTTGATTATCATCACATTCGCGAAACGATAAATAAAAATGAAAATAAAAAAACGAGAAAACAAAACGAAACAAAACAAAACAAAAAAAAAGAATACGAAACGATATTTACGATATTACAATCACTCACGGCATAACTTATCTAAAACCACGTTCTTAGTGTGACTCACGACCACTCACTACGATTTGAAGGAGTCATACAAACGGGACAGGAAGGGTGACTACTAACTTTTGCGATACCAGCGCTCTTCCATCTTTATAAAATCTTTATTTCCACGACTCGACTTTTTTATTTCGAAATCCAAGACACTTGATGATGCCAGAGAACATTGTTTGTAAACAAAGAATTGATTCTTTCACATGGATTATAAGAATACGTACGTACGTAAGTTCGCACGCGAGCACACGCACACGCACACTCTCTCACTCCTCACGCACTTATTTCGTATATAAAGTTATTATATAAATAGGTGACCAGTTCCTTTTTTTTTCAATCGATTCATCCTTCTTATTTTGACAGGAAGTAATCGTATATTTATTTTATTGTGTTGCATTTCTTCTAACGGAAACGACGGAATTCTCTTCATCCGGAAATTTTTTTTTTTTTTTTTTTCTCAAACGGAATTCTATGCCACAAATTTAATGACTATAAAAATAAAAACGCCTCGTTTTTCTAGGCCGCTTTAAAATTTTTTTTATATCAAGATCGAGTTCTTTGAAATGCGTTTATAAAAAAAAAAATTTTATTATTTCTTTTTTTTTTACAAACAAATACGAGTATTTGTACCATTCAAGGCTCGCGTGTGACATTTTCTCCTCATTTATGTAAGTACCCGGCAAACGTAGTGTTGATTTCAACTTTTATTAGAATCCGCTGATGATGACGTAAAAATAAATAAATATTAATTGCAGAATAACCCCGGATGATGATGATGATGAAGATTATTTGAAATTTTCCGCATTTTCAAGAAAAAAAAAAAAAAAAAAGTCATCTCGATCGCTAAATATATATCTAAAATCTTATTATCAGTAATCTTATCTTTCATCGGGTCACCAGAAACTAGTTTTTTTTCCCCATTCGATTGACGTTCTTTCGAGAGAGAGAAAAAATTTTACACATCAATTGCAGGCTAATCTTTTTTTAATTTAATTTTTTTTTCTTCTCATTATTATTATTAAAAAATATTTTTCGACGTATTCGACCATTTCCTTTCCGACGATCAATCACGAAATTTGTTTACATCTGTCGTCTGTCATCTTTCTCTTACTTTAAAAACAACAAACAGTTATCTTCCGGAACGTTTACGTCCCGCGAGTTTGTATACATACATAAATTTAAAAAAGTTTCTTAATTGCTCGACGTTGTAACTACAACTACAAACGTTCGCCGCCAAATCATATGTTTCGAAAATGAAATTATTTCGGCCATTTTGGCAAAGTGACAAAGTCTCCATTGCAAAAATTTTCCCGTTGTTGGAAAATCGATTAGAAATTTTCTTCATCTTTTAACTTTTTCTTCTAATCTTCGTATAAAAAAAAAAAAAACATTAATTTTCTTTTTGTGTGTTTCAAAACTTGTTTTTTATTTTTTTCTTTAATAAATCAAAAAAGGTGAAGTTTTTTTCTTTTTCTTTCTACACGCAGGAAAAGTAAAAAAGTGCATATTCAGACATTTAATAGTTACGCGCGCCAACTTACATATTTAGTCGGACAACGATTATTTTATGTACTTTAAGAATTAAGTCAAATACTGACCTCGAAAGATTTTCAAACGGCTTTTTTATCTTTTTCCTTTCCTCTTTTTTTTTTTAGCGAAAGGAATTTATTATCCTCGAGGAAGGAAGTTGTATTGAAAAGGCAACACACGATGACCAAAAGTTACCTACCCGGTTATGGTAAACACACACAATGGATGATTGAAAGTAAAAACAAATTAAAAAAAGTGAATTTTAAACATGATTCCAACTCATTTATTATGACTTTACCATATTTTGTAAGACGACGAAAGGAACAAAGAGCGCGAATTTATGGCAAGAAGAGAGAAAGAACCTTGATTTTAAAATTATTATCATTAAAAAAAATAAAATAAAAAAAAGTTAGAAAGTCTTCCCATGTAAATTTATTAACGAACCTTTAAAACGAACATTTTATTTATTATTATTATTTTTTATTTTTTAAATCGGAACAGTTTTTCACGACGCGGATTTTAAAAAAATTGTCTTTCACCCAAAACGTGTTTATTATTATTTAAAATAACGGAGTAAATTCATATTTTTTTTTTTTTACAATAATTTATATATGTTACAATTATTATAAAAATAATAATAAATAACAAATTTTTCACGAAATAAATAAATAAATAAAAACGAATTAAAATAAAATTTATGATGTGTAAAAAAATTTCTCGAACGTCGACGTTTTGTCGTGCTGCGAAAAAAAAACATGGCGTTTAAATAAAACGACGATATCGAAACGAATTATTTATTAAAAATCTTGAATCGGACTTTCAACGATAAACCCTTTCCCTCCCCCTCCACCCCCGCAAAAAAAATCAATTAATAAAAATATACCGGAAGGATTAGTTATTTTAATTTCTCAAATTTCATTTTACGATTTACGACGAAGGAATTTACTTTCGAAAAAAAAAAAAAAAAAAACTAAAATTATTTATTTGTTTTATTTACATTTAAAGAGAGAGATAAATTTTCGCGTTCATTTCCGTTAAATTTTTTTTTTTTTTTTTGTCCGACTTTTTACGCGGTTTCCTGACACAAAACGACACACATAAATATCATGTGATTGCGGTTTCGTGTTAAAAACCTTTTCATCATACTCGAATTTCAAAGAGTTCAAAAGAAAAAAAAAAAATTTATAAATAAAATATTTCATCAATTGGTTTCTCTACGATTT